TCATAAATATGAACCAGTTGCCAAGCATCTGAATTTTGATCATGTGACCATGAGCAGGGATCTCCAACCTTTGCTGGCTGGGGAATGCTGGGAGTTGAAGTCCTCCAGGCTTAAAGTTGCCACGGTTGGAGACCCCTGACCATGAAGATGCTGCAATGACTGTAAGTTGAAAAAGAGCCATCTCAATGCCATTGTAACTTCAAATGGTCACTATAAGTCAAAGACTACCTGTACGTGTAAATCATCTTTGTAGTGTTCCTCTGAAATCATAATAAATAAGATGCATGAGAATGTAATTATTGTTTCTAAGGAACTTTGCAACTGTAGTCTATTGTAAGCTATTTTACTATTTAAGATTCTCAGAATTCCATGAAGAGAGCCATCTTATTGTAAGGAAATATGATTATAAAATTATTAACACAATTATTTCAAAAAGTCTAATTAAAAACCCAGAATTCAAATGGTTGTCACTGGATCACTGATAAAAAAAATCAGATTTAAATTTTAAATATCTGATTTTATTTTTTTTAAATAAAATCATCGCTTTTTATCCACCCTGATTAGTGGTAGACAAAATGATACTGATTGTGGTGATTGGTAGCAAAGGAACATAGGTACCTCCCTTGGTGGCTGACTCTTACTTCATCAGACTCCATTTGTTTTAAATCCTTTTAATTAAAACTAATAATACTACCATGGTAACATGTTACAAGCAACCATTGTTATTATAGCCACCACAATTTTTAATATCAAGAATGCGTCTTGAGAACATTTTGGAAACATAAATGATACATGGCTCCAATCTAGTGCTTCTTTAGTAAATGTGCCCATATAATCCAGAAAAAGAGACACAGATAAATCCATGCAATGGAAACATTTCTGAAAGGATTGGCATGGAAAAAGTAGCTGGGTTTTTATTTTTTTGTTTGTTTGCTTTTATTCATAGCTATATTTTATTTTCTTGTTTGTTTGCTTTTATTCATAGCTATATTAAATGCATGCATACATAAATAATAATTTATAATGTTATAATTGCAAATGTGCTTATCAGAACAAAAAGTTGCCTATCCTTAGTTTATCCCCTATTAACTTAAACCAGGATAAAGTCATTATTTCAATTCTCTCTTTATTCCTAAACAAACCAAGGCTTTCTGATCATTATACCTGGTTTAAAATTAAAGCAAAACCTACTGGCAATCGTGTAAGTTATCTGCTAAGCCTTTTCCATGGTAATTTGGTTAACTTTCAATTTCTGAAAAGTATCTTTCCTACAATGACAATAAAGAATTTACTAAATCAGGACTTTTCAAACTTTGTTTTTATTTGAGTAACCTATATCTTTTTCTCTTTTCTCTATTTAAATCTCTGAGATTCTTGAGGAACCTTAAGATTCTATGGAATTCAATTTGAAAAAATTGAATAATACTTTCAAAATGTATATATCACATGACAAAAAGAAATCTGCTTCATAGATAAAATCACATCCAATAAAATTCACTTTGATTTACCAAAGAAATATCATTCTAATCTGATATATCTTATGAAAATCATTCACTTGGTAAACATAGTTGTAAGGTCGGAAAATGACTGGAGGATCTCTTCCTGAATTCACATCTCTATTGTGATGAATATTTGTCTTATTTAATTGCTATATTTGGTGCTAGAGCAATTTTAAAAAAAGAAAATAAATAATAGTAATTAAATACATCCCTTCTCTTATTTCACAACACTTCTTAGGAAAGATTTCCTCATTTTTCATTTGCTGTAAATAGATTCTGTCAATGCTATTAGCACTTGTCATTCAGGAGAAGCAAAATAACATTCTTTCTTTTGAACAGCTATAATTAAAGCAATATTTGACCAATCTGGAGAAGCCAGTAGCTGAGAGAAGCAGGAAGTGTATAAATAAAATGTCTTGATCAGACACTACTCTGACAAAATGTAGAAAAGTTTGTGTTGAATCTGTTTCAATACCACTGTTGATTGGCAGAGAGTGGAAAAACCATCCCTATATCTTTTTTAAATACAGGTAGTCCTCGACTTACAACCACAATTGAGCCCAACATTTCTAAATGGGACATTTGTTAAGAGAGTTTTGTCTCAGTTTACCACATTTCTTGCCACAGATGTTAAGTGGATCTGTTTTCCCCATTGACTTTGCTTGACTGTCATAAAAGGGGATCACATGACCCCGTCACTGCAAATGTCGCACACGAGTCAGCTGCCAAGCATCTGAATTCTAATCATGTGACCTTAGGGGTGCCGCAACTATCATAAATGTGAAAAACATTCACAATCTGAGTCCTCATTTTACTGACCTCAGAAAGATTGAAGGCTGAGTCAGCCTTGAACTGGTCAGGATCAAACTGCCAAATTGCTGGCAATCAGCAGAATTAGCCTGCAATACTGTATTCTAACCATTGCACCACCACGGCTCTTGTAACTTTGAACAGTTGCTAAATGAACTGTTGTAAATTGAGGACTACCTGTATATGCAGACGTTAATCCTGTTAATTTCAAGGGGCTTACTGGATTTGGCTTTCTTCTGAATATGTAATTTCCAGAATAAAGTTATTGACCTAATGAAATGGAGGTTGGGAACAGAGGGTGGAAGAAATGGTAATTAAATTGAGGACTATCTGAATGGACTTCAACCTCCAAGATTCCCCAGCCTTCTTTTTGCTGCAGATCCCATATGCAATATCAAGATGGGCCAAGATGAAGAGAGATGAGACAGCATTTTATAAATAAAAATTTAATTCTGAATTATTTAATATGATCACAATCTTAAAACCAGACTCATGGATGTAAAGTTATAGGCAGATTTCTTCATGTAAGCAAAGCTGGAATATTTGCTAGTTGCTAACCAATCTCCTTAAACCTAACACGTTTACTAGCTAAATAACAAGTTTTACAGAACACAGCAGGAATAAACTGACATAGACTACAAGTAATCCTCGACTTGCAACCATTTGTTTAATGATCATTCAAAGTTAGATCAACAATGAAAAAAATTGGCTTATGACCATCTTTCACACTTATGACCATTGTAGCATCCCCACCGCCATGTGTTTAAAATTCAACTCTTGAAAACTGGGATGTATTTATGACAGTTGATCACTTCCTCTGTCCTTTTGGCAGGAAAGTCAATGATTCACCTAACAAGTGTGTTACTAACTGAACGACTGCAGTGATTCACTTAACAACTGTGGTCATAAAATGGAGCAAAATTCACTTATCAATTGTCTTGCTTAACAACAGAAACTTTGGGCTCAATTATGGCATAAGTCAAGGATTACCTCTACAGTAAGAATCTATTAGCCCCATTTCAGTTTAAAGGCATTAAGCTTTCATCCGACTGATGAAGTAGCTAAACTGATAAAGGATGTTGTTGTTTTGAAGAGGAGCTACCAGATTTCTGGATTCTTTTCCGGGTTTTTTCCCAACAATATCTACAGTATCTACAATATCTACAGACTAGTAGGGTTCTTTTCCAACAATATCTACAGTATGAATACACACTTAAGTTCTTATTCTCATACCAAAACTTTCTAAAAAGCAGATGAAAAACTCTATAGAGTTTCAAAGGTAGTACCTAAGGTACTTTATTAATGTGTCAGTGGCACAGAGGGTATATTGAAAGACAGCACAATTTCTTTCCATCAACATTCACATTTAAGAATGGAATATAAAATAAACTCTGAAGGATCGAATAGAAATAAAAGTGAAAAAAGTCAAACTAAAATAAAAGAAAATATGGATAAAATAATACTTTGAAACTGCCCGCCTATCATCTATCTCTATCTCTCTATCATCCATCCATCCATCCATCCATCCATCCATCCATCCATCCATCCATCCATCCATCCATCTATCTATCTAAGTTTGGAAGCCAGATTATACATACCACAGAATCTGAAACTTAAAAGTCTGGATTTCCCCCACCCCACTGATGTGCATGGGTGAAATTTTTCACTGAAAAAACGCTGCAGAGAAAGAACTTCAGGGAATGGATAATGCAACCAGACTAGAGAGGGCATGACAAGTCCAGCATCAAGCAAGGCAGCAAAAAAAAATTGTGAAGGGGATGTCTAACACAATTAGAGGGAGCTGCTTGCTATAGAAAACCCCGTGATTGTGTCTTTTAAAAATTAACAAGAAATCTGTTTCCAATTCCTCCTTATAACCCAACATAGGCAGCTTCTCTAATTTCAAGGCCAAAGACTTAAACCCACCCCACCCCACCCCACATCTATCCATCCATCAATGCAAAACCACAGCTCACCCTGTCCGAAAAGGACCGTCCTAACAGAACAGACTTGTGGGCAGCGAAACAGACGCAAATCCCAGGGAGGAACATCTACGTATAAAGCAAAAGGACAAAGGGGGAGGAAGGAGGCGGGGGGGGGAGCACATCAACACGCAATCCTGCAAATCCCAAAGCTAGCGCCCCTTCAATGAGAAGAGCCCTGGAGAGCATATACACACGTACATATAGGCAAAGCAAGCAAGCTCGCTACAATTAACCCTAGGAAGGGAGGCGTGCTTCGGCATCAGGCTGCGCGCAAAATGCATCCGGCCGCCCACACGACGGCCTGCCTTTTGCTGCTGCTGCTGCTGCTGCTGCATAAATCACATCCACGCCTACCGGATCGGGCTCCGGAGCAGGAAAAAAAAACACCCCGGGGTAGCGACCGTCCGGTCGCAACGCCACGCGCCCCGGAAAACGACGCCCCCCCCCCGCGCGCAAGCGACGGCCTTTTGCACGGCCGACCACACAAAGCAATCCACACAATAGGCGCAATTCCCGGCCCTCCCCTTCCCTTCTTCCCCCAGCCAAGTCCCCGGAATCCCCCACGCCAGCAAGATCATCTCCCCTAGTGGGGGGGACGGGAATGCATCTCCCTGCTAGGCCCCTCGCGCAGTCCCCATGCGATCTCCCAGGAGCTTAGGATGCGGCTCCCTTGCTCTCCCTCCTCACCGCGCACCGGCTCTTTTACCTGCTGATCTTCTGAGCAAAGGCGCGGCGCTCGGCCATGGCCGCTTCGGCTTCCAGCGACCCAAAACGCTCCTCGGCTCTTCGCCGCCGCCGCCGCCGCCGCTGCTGGAGAGCAGTCAAAGGAACCAGGAATGGGTGCCGTAATGCTCCTGAACGACGCGCATCCCAAAGTCGTGGCGTTTATCCATTCCCGTTTCCAGTGAGAAGTGGAGGAGAAAGCTTATGCGCCTCTCCTAGCAGACATATGCTCCGTCACGGGCTCGCTACACGGGAATCGGTGGGTGTGGGCTACGGAGGAGGGAGCGGAGCATTTGCCTCCAATTTTTTTTAAGGGATGTGTGGCTGCGTTGGAGCTGCACCCGGAGTTGAGTTGGCGGCTCTGGCTAACCGCGGAACTATGGAGAAAGCAGGAACGTCCTTCCCAAGTCCCTCCAATACCCCTGCCCCGAAAGAGAATGGCACCGATTTCGCTTAAAAATGCAAGGATGCAAGTCTGTTTTCCTGGAATCCTTGGCGGAGGTTTCCATTGAGAACAAGTGCAAGAGATCCAGAAGATCTCTTCTTCTAAGGGGGGGCGGGGATCACGCCAAAACCGAAAAAGCTCTCGAGGCGAAACGAAAAGAGAGATTCGTTTCTGTCCTCCCTGAGTCTCCTGGATAGAATTGATTCCTACCAGTTCTATCGAATTTTGCTACTTTCACCATGTATTTGAATGATCAGATTGTTTCCTGGTGGAGTGTTTTTTGAGAGCATGAACTTCTTAGGGCTGAGAGAAAGTAACGTAATGGTTAAGCCAAGGCATCTTTTTAGAAATTCAGAGATTATGAATTATTGGCCCACTGTTGCCACAAAATCAGCTGGCCGACCTTGGGCCATTCACTGGCTCTCAGCTCTAGGAAGGAGACGATGTTAAGCCACTTCTGGAAAAACCTGGCCAAAAAAACTGCAAGGAGTTGTGCAGGAAGTCAGCAGAGTTAAAAACTGACTCAAAAGCACACAAACACAAACTTTGTGGGGGATCACCAGATCCCTCACCAGCCAGGAGCAAACACAGGTAACAATTTGGAAAACAAATACCTGTGTTTTGTTCCACAGAACCTATTTCATCATCTAAAGCAGAGCATCCATTAATACCCTTCATAAGCATAACCCAGGGCCAGCTGCCAAACTATTTTAGCACGAGACAATTCAAATTCCAGACATCCCCCCCCTTGCCTAGCTGTAACAGACACAATATTTATAACAATGATTTAGCATTTAATGTATATTCATTTAAAGTATATCTCATACAAGCATCTCCGAACTATGTACAACTTTAAATAAATTATTTAAATTATTTATAGTTAAATTATGCCTTTCACGTCACCCAGAATCACTTGATAGGTTGATTACTTTCACTGTGGTTGAACAGTTGCATAAACCTTGTTTTTGTCCAGGAGCTTCTAACTGGCTTTACCTAGGTATGTAAAACTGAATCTTTGGTAGAAACTATTACTGGTTATAGGAATTATAGTGAGGTTTGATTTTCTTTCCATGAAAGAGCACAGTCTGTTTGATTCTCCGAAGTGAGGCATGGGAGGAGTCACGAATGGTATTAACACAGCCCTTTTGCCCTGGAGACTGAGGTAAATCTTGAGGCCACACCTCCGTTCCTCCTTCTGACCTCCCAGATTAACTTCAGTCTTTGGCCCAGAAGGAGTGTTTTCCTGACTCTCCTTCACTTCAAAGATTTTTTCTAAGTTTTTCTAAGTTTTTTCTTTCCGGATTGGATCACCCCTCCTCACTCGTGCTCAATTGCTGCTAGCACTAAAGCCTTGCCGCTTTGCTAGCGCAAGCCCCAGGCAGCCAGATGGCCGCAAAAAGGGGGAGGAGGCTCACCTCGCCGCAAGCTCCGCTTGAGACGGCTGCAGGAGATCCAGGCATCGAGGGAACAAGGAGCCCAGCAGAGGTCATCTTCCATTGTTCCCGAAGTTCGGAGAGGAGAGATCAGTCTGCAGGCTCGGCAGTCGCCATCTTGGATCGTGGCCATTTTGGAGCACGTGAGTGGAGCACATGGTCGGCATGTCTGACTACGGATGCAACGAGTGCTCAGAAGGCACCGCCAGAGCGAAAAGAAGGCTGCAGGGGCCTAAACTCCGCCAGCAATCTGGGGAGGGCCCAGAGTTTGGCGGTGGGCCGGCATTCGGGCCGCGGGTCGGCGGCAAGCTCAGAAGGGCGCGGAGCCTTAAAGAGGCAGGATGCGCAGCCGAGCCGAAGCTGGCAGGAAGGAGGAGGTGGTGAACAGCGTAACCGTGAGTAGTATGGCAGAGGCGGTGAGAAATGGGGGTGCAGCGGGGCCTAGATCCCCAGGCGATTCAGACCCGGGCGAGGGGACCTCTAGGGGGGTTCCCCCAGTCACCAGATGGAGGTCCCCCACCAAGAGAAGCACCCCCAGGCCCGAGTGGAAGAAGACCTCCGGCGGGTGACCAGGGCCTCCAAGAGGAGGATCAGGGACACCATCAGCCCGTCCCACTCCAGATCTCGCTCCCCCACAGGCTTCCCACACTGGAGGAGGCCCAGGTTGAATCCCCAGGTTCCCCAAGGGGCTCGGGAAGAGGGCGTAGTCCCCTATCGCCCCCCCCCTATCTCCTGCCCATCGATCGGAGGCATGGGAAGATCCCTTCGGGCGCAGGGCACCCAGCCCTGCCAGGCACCAGCTGGCCCCTCAATCTTCAGACCCAGGGGAGTTTTTACAACCCCCAGATCTTCACCCCTCCCTTCCAGAGCTTCCTGAGAGCTTTCAGGAGGTCTTAGCCAGAGCTATAGCGCAAGGGATAGCCTCTGGCATGAAACACCAGTCCCAGGGTTCTAGAAGGTCTTCCCGGGATAACCCCAGGGGTCATCAGGATCTTCCCAGGTCATCTGCCCCTAGAGAGACCAGGTCACCCTCCCCATCCACTGCCAGCGAGGGCTCGGATCTAGAAAAGGGGGAGTTGAAGGAAGTGGGGTTTTCGGAGGACGAGGATGCCCAGGCCCCTGAGGCACCCAATATTACTGGTCTGTTCCCTCCCTCCATGTTCAGCTGGAGTTCCGCTCGCAGCCCCCAAATAGGTTCTGAACCTTCGCCTGCTCTAGGAACCCGGCCAAGCGGGCCCTCCTGGGCAAGGCCATCCAACACCTGCTGGCCATCAGGGCAGTAGAGATAGTACCTGAGGGGGAGAGGGGTTCAGGATTTTATTCTAACCTGTTCCTAGTTCCCAAGAATTCAGGGGGGGGGGGTGGAGAGCCATCTTGGACCTTAAATTACTCAATTCCAGATTGGTTTACCGTAGGTTTAAGATGGCCTCTCTTAAGTCCATCCTAGAGGGTTTCCAACAAGGGTATTTCCTGGCCTCTATCGATCTCACAGAGACCTATTTACACATCAGAATCGCCCCTGAGCATCGTAGGTTCCTCAGGTTTTCCCACGAGGGCAGCCACTTCCAGTATAGGGCCCTTCCCTTCGGGCTGGCATCAGCTCCCAGAACCTTTACCAAGGTACTGGCTGCGGCCGCGGGCTACCTTCGTTCTATCCCGGTCCGGCTTCATTGTTACCTTTATGACATCCTCATACTAGCCAGGTCCCCAGCTAGTGCTGACCAGGACCTGGGCCTCACCATCAACACTCAGAGGTCCCTGGAGTGCTCGATTAACCTCGAGAAGAGCCACCTTGTCCCCTCTACCAGGCTCCAACACCTAGGGACCATCATAGATTTGGTGTTTGGAGAGGTTTTCCTCTCCCGGGAACATAGGGAAAGCATTGTTCAGCTGGTTCAGGAGATCCGTAAGTCACGTTCTGCCCCTGTAGTTCTTCTTTCCAGGCTTCTCAGGAAATTCATCTCATGCATAGGGATCGTGCCCTGGGCTCGTTTCCATGCCAGAGAAGTCCAGTGGTTCCTGCTCCCGCATCAGAGAGGCGGGATGAGCGACGCAAGCTTCAAGGTTCTCGTGACACCCCAGGTGCTCCTCTCGCTCTGTTGGTGGCTGTCTCTGGCTCTAGGCAAGGGATCACTGTTCAGGGAGCCAGCAAGGAAGGTGCTCACGACAGACGCGAGCCTATTCGGTTGGGGAGCGCACCTGGAGTCCCAAATAGCCCAGGGCTACTGGACTCCAACAGACCTGCGCAACAACATCAACTGGCTGGAGCTCAGAGCCATCCACCTGGCTCTGCATCACTTCAAGACTACAGTGTCTGATCACCATGTCCTGGTCCTGACAGACAACGTGGCAGCCAAGGCTCATTTGAACAAGCAGGGGGGTATGTATTCCAAGGCCCTGCGCAATAAGGCCCTCAGGCTGGGGAACTGGGCGGAAAGTAACGTCCGATCGATCAGAGTGGAGCACATCTCCGAGATAGAGAACTAGCAGGCGGACTGGCTCAGCAGGGAGACAGTCGACAACGAAGAGTGGCAACTCCATCCCAGCATCTTCCAGCAGATCTGCAGGAGGTTCGGCCGCCCGACAATGCATCTCTTCGCAACTCCAGGGAACGCCCAGCTGCCAAGCTTCATATCGAGGTTCCCGTCCAGAGGAGCCATGGATACAGATGTGATTTGCTGCAGATGGCCGTCCGGTCTTCTCTATGCCTTTCCTCCCCTTCCCCTCATCCCCGGGGTTCTGAGGAAGCTAGTGACAGAGAGAGCAGAGATGGTTCTAGTGGCCCCCTTCTGGCCACGTTGCCCCTGGCTGGCAGACCTGGTGGACCTGTCCACAGCTCCCCATTGGAGAATGCTGCAGGGGGAGGTGACTCCAGGGGTCTCTGGAGCATCCAGACCTGGAGTGGCTCCATCTGACTGCCTGGCCCTTGAGCGGGAACAACTAAGGTGGGCCCATTCTCCACGAAGGTCATTGGGACCATTGAGGCTTCCAGGAGGCATTCCACCACCCGCATCTATAATGCCTCCTGGGTTGCCTTCGCGGATTGGTGCCGAGCAAGGGGCCTTGACCCATCCTCGGCATCCGTGCCCTGGACTTCCTACAGGAAGGTCTGGAAAAAGGTTTGTCCCCCCAGCACCCTCAGAAGACAGATCTCTGTCCTTTCCACAGTCCTGAGGGGGGTGGACTCCCCGCCCTTATTCCAGCATCCAGTTCTAAGGCGTTTCCTCAATGGGGCG